TCAAAAAATTTTTTCGATCGGGCAGGGCACAGAAGTCTGATCAACTACTTGCCTGTTAGAGAACGGATCGTGAAACGGACACACAAATTTGTTCGCCCCATGCTCCACAAGGGGAAACGGGATTCCACTTAGTTACTTACTTTGAGTACAGTTCTGCTAGCTAACTTCTTACCATATACTTGACGTCTAATAAATTATGAATTGGTATTTCAAAACAGGTAAGACGATTTTAAAAAAAGGTCGCGACTGTTTTATTTCAAAATTACCTATTTAGTGTTGTGTGAATAAATTAAAATGGATCTGGTCTTTAAATATCGCCTTTTGACCTCCGTGCGATTTTCTTATAAAATAAATATTGGGAAAATTAACTTATGTATACTTTTGTCCATCTCTACTTATATCGAAAAAATATTTATCTATATTCTTTACTAACACTTTAAAGTAGTAAGTAAGTTTCACACTTCTTGCAGATTGTAAAGTTTCATTTTTAACTTTCGTTTTACTCGGGTGGTCTGGAAGAGATCGCTTAAAGGGATAAGCTGCTCGGTGCCCGCTGTAGTTGTTAAATGTTATTGGGTATCTATATATTCTGTGGACCAAATCGTCAAATAAATAAATCAATAAAATAAAATATACTATGAACAGATATAACTTTTAAAGTGTTAACGTACACGCTACAACAGGAAAACATAACTTTAATATGAATAATTTTATATAAAAAACTGCTTAATCTTTTTTTTACGTCATATTATTAACATCTTACGCCATGAAACTATACGTAAAAAACGCAACGCAAATAAAAATAAAATGTTCAACTTTTTAATAAGTCGACATCGCATCTCCGAACGGCCTTGACAGCGTGACTTTTGCCTATAAATGTCGGGATCGGGCGCTCTAAAGGTCAGAATGATTATAATCTCATAATAGTAATCATGTAGATATTACGTCTTCGTCAGACATTCTTCGGCTGTCATTAGACATGGATACGAAACAATATCGGGGATTCCATTTAAACATGTTTTGAAAATTCTAATAATGAAGCTGAAGAGTTTGTTTGTTCAAATGCGCTAATCTCACAAACTGCTTATTCGAATTGAAAATTTATTTTTGTGTTTCTTAGAACATTTATCGTTTAGGAAGGTAAAGGTACTAGTTTATATGATACTAGCCACCCGCCCCGGCTTCGGTCGTGTGCAATGCTATTGTATATAAAAACCTAGCTCTTAAATCACTCTATCTATATTTTAAAGATTTAAGGGTACATAGGGACAGAAAATGCGACTTTGTTTTATACTTGGGGGGAAAAGCATTTCCGGGGTTTTTCATCTTTTATCGGGAGAAACCTTTGTATATCTTTTGTCATATAAATATATATTAAATAACAGAAGTGTACATTTTAATGAATACCTATCTGTAGAAATTAAAAATTAAATATTAAAGTTTTTTGTATCATTACCAGGTATCAAATATCTCCTAATCACTAATCGCTATCTAATGTTATAGGACAGCGTGGGAAATTTATTATCACTTTCCTTTTTAGGACACCTTATTTATTTCGTAACATTTTTGTGTCAGCGAATTTTTATCAAAGTGGTTATCCGACATAGTGTCTAGATAAAACTCGTGAATGTTACTTATTAAATTTCAATGCCTTCCTTGTCTATTGGTTATTTATGTAACCAGTGAAAAATGATCTGCAAATTGACAATTAGTCTGTCAATAATACAGAATAATTATACACAGTAGCTCCATAAACGTATAATTTCGATAAAACAACATTGACCAATAACTCTGATATAAACATAATCTAACCGTATTTGGTAGAGGATTCGAAACCTAAATACATTGATATAAGTTTTACTTTAGCATGATAGAAGTTGGCAAATATTTGTCAATGGCGTTGCTTTCACTAATATGGTATACCTTCAATTTTTGACGAGCCTACTTATATCAAATTACATACTATTTTGTGTCAACATTCAATTATGATGTAAGTCATATTGTATTACTAAAACGAGGGTTGTTCAATATTTAACTTTGCTTTGATATCAGCACTGCTTCTTTTACCCACCATTTTTCTAATCAATTTATAATTTTTCTGAAACAAGTTGGGTTTCGTCTGAAAATAGAGATATAGCTGATATTAAGTAGAGATACCGAAATTCCGTCTGGGTCACGAAACACCGTCCATATATGATAAAGCCGCAAAATTTAATCGCGTTTTGGTTCCAGGCCGTGGATTTCCGAAAATCAAAGGTCAAAATAGGTGATGTTTTTGAGATGTTACATGGTCAAGTATATTGTCAAGTGGACGCCCCCAAGGCCTTTTCCTCAAAAAAAAATTGTTGACGTGGTTTAAAAAATTATCTAAAATAAAATACACAAATTCTCGACTTTATGTCAAAATTTGTCTTTATTTTAAAAATCACAGTGGTGTCTGAACATTAAGAAGCTTAATTAAGAAGAAAACAACACTTCCTATGAATGAAATAATAAATACAAATTCTTCCTTATCAAAGAACAAACATGTAAAACTGCAATGAAACAATCGTTTATCGCAAACATCTTAATGATCATAATTCATTCATTATTCAATCATTGGAAATTTGCACGGAAATAATGCACTCTCTAATTTTAATTTAATTAATTGATCCGACAAACCAATATATACTTACTTGATATTCAGAATTATAAATTCTCTTCTTCAATACATTATATTTAAATAACTGTTTAAATCACGAAATATTATAGACCCTGAAGATTCTAATTATAATGTTTTACAACAGCCATTATCAAGGTAGACCTCGTCTCCAGATTTAAAACAAAAGAATAAATATATATCGCATTTTAAACTGTTAAAATTTATACATAAAAAAAAAAAAAATTGCCCAAAAGGAACCAAAAAAAAAAAACAAAAGGGAGGAAAAAAAGGCAATGAAAAAATTTCCAAAACAATACTCAAGTATTTGAAATATTAAAAAAAAATTAAAACTAATAAAATTAATTGCGTAAATATTCTCGCAAATTCATCGTAGGTATTCAAATAAAACACGCTTAACGGTTTAAACTCTGCAGCAAGCATCCGAAGTATGTGTGGGTGGGTTGCTAAGTCTTATCTAAAATAACTTAACTAAATCATTTCACGTTTTAACCCGTTATAAGGGTTGTGTATATTTGCGTAATTTACCCGCAATAATTGAATTCATCGCATTTTAATTGTGTTAATTCACCGTTTTGTCATGTTACAATTAAATTTTAATAGAACTTATTGGACCGTGTCTCATAATACATAATGCAATATTTATAAAGAAATCAATCCGACTTAGGTACGAGAACGTAATAAATTCTATAATTGAGATGATTTTACAATATTTTACGTAACACCATAATTCGAGCCGGAGTTCATGCGCTGGAGCAATAATCGATGACTTCATTACAAAATTTTTAATGCTTAATCAACGCATTCAACGTTTCAACTTCTTATTCTTACGCGTTTTGTAGAGTAAGAGAATTCAGATATATTTTTCATTAAAAAAAAACACCAAGTTACTAAACTTTATATATTTCTAACTGTCTGTAGTTAACGCAAGTGTGTGTGTTTTCTTTACATGTAGATACTCTACATGTAAATAAAACACATTTTAATAGTTTAAAACGCGAGATATATTAGTTAATTTATTTTAACTATTCAGCAGTTGTCAGGCCATGAAAAACAAGTTAAATATATTTTGAGTTTTAAACTTTAAAAGTGTTTTCTTATATCATCTTTGATTTTTATAGTCAAAAGACTTTGAAACTAAAACCATAATAGTAGTTTGTTGTAATTTTCACATATTATGTCGAGCTACCACCTAATGTGCCAAATACCCATCTTTTAACATGTTACGCTGGGATTCGAATCCACTGTAACCAGCCGAATGCTGACCGACTGACACCGCTGATAAACATTACATAAAAGCCAAAACGTGTCTACATTTAAAACCATTATTGAACCTATCTGTTGAAATTTAAATTACATAACGCTTCATAGAAAGTATGATTGTTTAAACACATTATTTATGCAAACAGAAGTGATAACAGACGAAAACTTATGCAATAAGACAGATTGCGCGTCGCAGCGAATTCGCGTTTATTTCAAATTAAATGCTTCTGAAGATGCTCGGTATATTGATGCAATAATATTAAGAATAAATTTAAATAATGCAATCTCGTACTTTATTATTTCCTCAAGTTTATATAATTGTTCTACATTATAATACATAAAGAGAAATAGTTGCATAGATGATACTACCACTAGACGCGTAGCGTAACTGTAATTTTAAGACTTGAGTTATATAGTTCATTACCTAAAATGTTTTATCTACAAGAGCACAGTCACTGAAAATTGTTAACACAATTCTTACACAAATAATCAATTCATTTTTGCCTTAGTTAATTGCGCATTTTTATTTTCCTCCTTAATGAAAATCATGTTTTTTGTTATTAGGCCACTTTGCCTCTAGCAGCCTAACGATTATGAATATACGTGATTATGAAAATATATGTTATTTAGAGCCTCACTCAATCCGTGGTTTTTGTCTCGAACATCAGGCGAAATTAATATTTAGATAGGGTTATGATCCAGTGGGCAAATCAATCAATAAATAAAATAAAATAATAATAACTACTTGTGGATAAAGTTCATCGTGGAATTAGAGACAGTAATTCGTCTGTCTTATGCTCTTGTGGAAACGGGCTTATGTACTGTATAATTAAACATCAAGGATAAATTAAGACGCGTGCAGTACTAACATTATGTTGTTATTATGACATTAAATGAAGACTCTCTCTTTGCAGGTACAAATAAACAAGAAAAACAGGCTAGTCGTGCGGATTATAGACCTACATTCGAACGACCGGAACCATTATGCCTTATAAATCAGTCAATATCTAAACCGCCACCTGACTAGACTACCAACCGGAAGAGCCGTTAACTAATTATGTGGATTCATTAATCGATCATGGAGGAGGTATCCACCAGGCCCAATCTCGAGTACATCTCCCCTCTCCCAAAAATGAAGCAGAGGACCGGATCGACTACTTTTACACAAATTACCTGCGACGATGCTAAGCTTAGAGTGAACGGTTTTACTGATAGCCGAGCCGAGATGGACTCTCTAAGTTCGATGCACTCGCTTGTCCTTGATTCTAAGGCACCATCAGCAACGGTATTCGTCGCGACCCAGTCAGATCGACCCGCGAGCACGCCTTGCGCAGACGCACTAGGCGCAAACGGGCCACACGTGGTCACTATCAGAATAAACACCGACACAGATAAGCCGAAAGCGCCCAAAATATCTAGTGTACATCTCAAGAGCGACGTGGACTTTGACACGTTCAAGATCAACGATACGAAGAGGAATAGCAGTCTGGTCAGGCTTAATGTAGAGGACACTCGTCCGAAAATAGAAACGGAAGAACTGAGCAAGGACAAAGCGCCGTTCATCTACTGTAGCTCGTACGTGAATCCGATGACCAACATGATAATGTCTAGCGGGCAGTGCTCACCGAGCGACACGTTAGACTCGGGCACGTGCAGCGATCTCGACGGAACGCCGCCACCTCTGCCCAAAAAGAAGTTATCCAAATCGAACACGAAGAAATCCGTATCCGTCACAGTCATTAGCTCTTCTAGAACTCACGGCGAAATAGATTTTGAAGATAACGACTCTAACATATCGTGTGACTCATTAAACAGCAGCGAATTGAATGGAAGCGTACACGCCGACGAAAGTCACGGTGACGACGCGGGCAAAAAAGAAAAGAAACAATCGCCCGAGCCTTTGCAATCGTTCGCTAAAGTGAACAATAAAGATAGCTTTCTACCGCTGGGTTTGCTGCAAGATATCAGAGACCGATCGGCGAAGCTAACGACGGTCGACATCGAAAGTGATTCGAGCGAACGCCAAGGGGAAGTTAGCCAGAATATTAATGAGGATGCTAATGTGCAGAAAGAAAGCGCGCTGACGTCGTTCCGTTTGGTTTCACAGTGTAATGACGAGCTGAAAAGAAGCGCGGATACAAAGACGCCGATCATCACCGAAACTACTTACGAAGAGAGGAAGAAAACGGATAACATGAAGGACCAAATGTGCTATAGCAGTCATTACTTCGACACGGACAAATATTACGATTTCCATTTAAACGAGAAACAATTCGATGACGCTCCAGTGAAAAGTGTTAGTGTTAAAAGTGAGTGCCCCGACTTGACGGATGTGGAATATTTTGCTGGGATAAAGGACTTCAAGAGTGAAGAAGCGCCCTCTACTATTAAGAGTTCAAAGGGAACGATTCGCGGTGTAAAGAACCGAGTTCGCGCCGGAATCGCTACGTTCCTTCAAATGCAGAGCACTACCAAGGTGAGCTTACTTATAGAACCTGCTTATTGATAACTTGACAGCATTTTAACTCTGTTTCGAACACGAATTATAAAATTTGTCGTATTGGGCTCAGTATTTTCTACCATTTCATGGGTACAAAATGTACAATTAAATTTGGTGGATATTATTTAGACACAGAATGCATGGAATGTATGGCATGAAATAAGCAGTCAATTTCAGTCAGTCATTGCAACGGTCACAGAAAAATGTCCAAAGTAGAGGAATAATATAGGCTAATGTTGCACAGTAGTAGCTAATATATATATATATATTTTTAATTTTATTTTAACTGCGATATTCGTTAGAAACTTGTGTGAGCTATTAAAAAAATTCCACAATGCGGTTTAACTCGTTAAACTTTCGACCTAAACCCAAATAATCAACAGTCGTATCTAAGAGCAAAATATTATTCTTGTCACTCACCGTTCGACATACGTCTCTGGTTTTAGAGGTCAGAGTCAAGTTGGAAAGTAAGCACGTACGAGTTATTATATTTTAATGGCACTTTAGTGTTGCCCACATCCTTGGGCTTGTTTATAAAAGTAATTCTGACTGCGTACATGCAGGAAAGTGTGTTTGCCCTTGGTTTTTAAAATCGTGGATTTGTACGCTTTGGGAATTTTTATGTTCAATGACTAGGTCAACTTAATAACATGAAGTCATATGAGATACTTGTCTCAAGTCAAGTGCTGGGAAGAGATACACATAAGCGAAAATTGTATGTAATACGTTTCACATATTTTTGCAGTCAAACATAGCGTATTACTTTCTGGTCTTTTAACTGTTTAATAAATTATTTAGTAGAACGCGTAAAGAATAATCTAAATACTGAATACTGTCTGTAGTTAACGCGAATAGTACATAATATTTAAACATAACAAAGTAAAGGTTAAACACGAAATAAATCAGTAACTTATATTTTAACAACGGCTCAAAGTTTTCAATGCTTTACACCAGCTATTACGGGAGAACCATGGTTTAAAATTTGTTTTGCGTCTTAAATCGTTAAAAGTGGGTAAACATTCAATAATTCGCGGATTGTCCGCCCCAGATTATCAAGGTAAAAGTTTAAAAACGGGACATAACTCTCTTATATCACAAATTGGCCTCAATCATCATAAAAAAAGATATCAAAATGCCGCCACACGGAGGCTTTTGCGTCGCGTTTTTTGCCTTAATTACGAAGACACCTAATCGCTTTGACATCGCGCAATTAAGAATTTCTCTAATAATTTTCCGCTTTTCCGAGAGATGTCGATTACGCGTTTCCTTTTCGCGTGGGATGTGACGGAAATCGACTCTCGATTGAGACAATTCTGATATCGTTCACACTTTCATGTCTATTGTTGTGAATTGCATAATGAACGTCGTGTGACACTTTGATATATGAAGCCGCTAGAGGCAGAGTAGCCTATCTGCAATTTTATAAATATTTGTCTTCTATCTCAGTGTTCAGTCCAAGTTCCCATTTTCAAATTCGACCTTTTTACTATGATTCCAAGTACCTGAACTCTGAAATTTTGACATGCCACGGTGTTGAAGTTAATAAGAAAACTACCTTGTTACTGCAATAAAAATGTACTTTTAAACTGTTCTTAAGCTATTGCTTAAACAGTATTAGGTTTTTACAATGATTTACGCCAGAAAATGGCGCCACTTTCGCACGAGGTCTCATCTCTATGAAGCTATAAAAAGCAAAAAGGAATTGTTTTTAAAAACACAAAGAATACACAGGCGCCTTGACACTTTTGACATTTCTATAATTGACGTTTCAGTGCTGCCGTCCCGTGGTTATTTATGACAGCCTTTAATATGAAATAGATATTTCGCCAAGGGTTGATGTATAACTGACTAGCTCTTAATTTTTTTAGCCGGCCGATTGGCATTTAAAACTAGTTTGTCATTTCAATAACTATTGTCTTCCGTAAGCAATATATTCTGACCTTCGTTAGTCCAGAACGTTCACTTGTCCGCCGTCGGAAATTAGTTTAAAGTGCGCGTGTGGAAAAAATTATAGGGTCTCGTTTTTAAAATTCAATTTGTACACGCGATAACCTTCAAGAACACAGTTTACTATTCACCCTAGATATGATTCTATTGTTTGACTTTTAATTGAATGTAAATTTAGGACTGACTAGAGCAAACGCCTTAGGTTCGAATTCTAGAGAAACACGGCACGATGAACAGCATTTTTAAACCTATACATATTATGCAATAAAATATAATGTGTAAATAAGATAATATTTATAGATCGCTTATAACACTGTAATCCGTCTGAAAAGGTTTAAAATAACAAATTTAAATAAAACACTTTCATTGGGTGAAATATATTAGTTAAATTAATTTAATTACGACTCGACGTTTCGGAATATATGCAACAAGCGGCTTAAACCACAGACAATACTTGATTATCTAATTATAAAGTATGCATTATATGTTATATATACTTTTGCAGATAAACTATTCTATGAACAAACAGTCGTACAAAATTGAAATTACAATAAAGTTTGTTTTAAAATAAACTTGACACAGCCAAATGTAGAGTAGGATTTTTGGATGAATGGATTACAAAAATACTGTGCTGATCTCTGAATTAGTCACTTTAGCGCCCCACTTAATTACAGCAATTACAAATAAAATGCGATAATAAATATGGAATTACAAATGTTAATTTCGCAAGACATTCGTCTTTAATTACTTACAAGTTTGCTTTTTGTATAAAGATGAATCAGATCAAGGCTACTGTAATTATACAATTAATGTGAGAAAATATTGTTTGTATCTTTGAGGTCCATGAAATCAGTTTTAGTAGATTAAAACAATCGTCGAGTAGTTTTCGAATTTTTAATTTTATGTTACTATGGTAACCATGGTGAGAATGGTATGGTAATTATGGTAACAATGGTCGCTATGGTAACAAGTATCAAATTAAAAAAAACTTTTAAGTTTAACAGTTTTATTTTTTGTGCACTACAAAAACTTTAAATTTTAACATAATCATCGTGTTTAACTAGTTTAGCCTTTCATTTGAAACCCATATTAACGGGGTTAAGAAAAAATATATAAAAGGACATTTTGTATTGGCGGCCATCTTGGATTTATAATGATTTTATTATATTGTATTTTCATTTAAATTAAATGTATGTACCAAATTTCAGATCAATGTGACAACGGGAAGGTGCCTAAATTATAATTTCTTATTTTGACGGGTCGAGTTAAATAAAACCGTTTAAAAATGAACCCCCATTAACAAGACTTCAATGTATGTTACCAAGCTGTATCAAAGAATATTTATAGAGATTTTTTTATTATTAACTTCTGTTCCCGCTTACAACAATAATAAGTCACAGTGCGTGAAAGCTTAGTTGATTTGGTACAATAGTATGTTATAGAAACTGTGCCAGCGATTTCGTCCTCGTGGAGGCATTAAAATTATTTTTTTCTCAGTTGTATTAATTACAGCTGTTTGTTAGTTATACCTACTACGTGGTCCACGTCCCATCGCTCTTGCGAGTAATTCTTAAAAGATAGACATATATTGTCTTGGACATTTTTTTAGATCATATATAAAGAAGAAAGCTTTTCGCAGCATCGGAATTCCTCAAAGATAAATAATTTTCCCCGTTTGTTCTACATTTGTTTTATAACCTTCCATTCTATATTAGATAAATGGTTCAACTAAAAAAAAAAAAAAATCCAACCAATTGTTCTTAAAAGTAGCGCGTTCAAACAAACAGACCCTTCAGCTTTATAATTTATATAATATGGATATAGATAGAAAGTGAGTTTTTTCATTGATTTAATTAATAACTAGATGCATTTTCCCATAATCACGTCATCAAAACTTCACACACCAGGAAGAATGATTGTTCTGATTTCTTCAGCTTATCCGTCGTGCTTTCACCGTCATTATAATTTTCCCTGATTGACGCAATTTTCACCACTCGCTAATTCACCATTACTAAATTCGTAATGAGTTTTTTCATAGCGAATCAAGTTGATGGTGGTTCGACGTAGGATGGCATTTCTTGCTTTTCTTTCTTGAAAATATGGTTGCGTAATTTTAAAATAAGTCAAGATGAATGTTCCGAAATATGCCATCAACGGCCCCCACTTCTGGGACTGGAATCTCCTATGATGTTAGACTTTATCTAGCACACTTTCTAAATTCAAGAAATATATACGTCAAGGGTACTTTTTTTAAGTTTAAAAATGTACACATGCGAGACTTTTATATGATAGAGGAGGACAGATAGAAGACACAGATAGACAGAAGGAGTTTTCCTTGATGGAAGTGAAGCCAAAACGTGATTATACTTCCATCTTTAGTGGTCCATGAACCGGAGGAAATGTCTCTGTGGCTCGCAAAATTTTTTAATACTAATTTTTCCTATTTTTCTTTTTTGGTGTGTTATCTATACTAATAAATAGAGCTGAAGAGTTTGTTTGTTTGTTTGAACGCGCTAATCTCAGGAACTACGTCACTAAATTATTTTTGTGTTGGTTAGACCATTTATCGAGGAAGGTGATAGGCTATAAAACATCCCGCTGTGACTAATAGAAGTGAAGATACAGCGGAAAATGTGAACAAAACGGGGGAAATTTTTCATCTCTCTGGGTTTCAAATGCGTACGATGAAAAAAGGTTAGAAGCTTAAAAATTTGTACGAAAGAGTGATTCCTCTCTGATGATCTAAAAAAAAGGTCGCGACGCTATATCTCTATCTTTTAAGACTAACTAGTATTAACTAAGCAAGAACGACGGGAAGGATCCCGATCAACGTCGTTGCTAGTAGCTGAAGTTTATAAAGATGACTGTGTTTGCAAAAACTAACTAGGATGCCCAAAATGACGATTCTCGCAGACGAAGTCGCTGGCACAGCTAATAATGAATAAAGCTATAATAAAGAAATATTTGTTTATTCAATAAGCGCTCATTATATTCCTACTAGGATGTAGGTACGGTTTCGCCATGACATT